ATTTTTAAATTTCTTCATTAAGAAATTTAAGGTATGTGAGGTCTACGTAATTAACTTAGAACACTGACTGTGGAAAAACTAAAGCAATTAGTATTTCAGGAAAGGTAGCTTGTTCTTCCAAGATTCAAGTGTTGGTTTCTGTGCATTGCATGCATGTGTGTGTGTGTCCGTGTGTGTGTGTGCACACATGCATGTACTGCTAAAAGCATGGTTTAATGTGAACAGCATTTCTTCACTGCTCCTGTGGCCCTCATTTTAATGGAAGCTGGACCTCATGGTCTGTAAACCCCAGGTGAACCAGTGACTGTATAGTAGCCAAAATTAGCTCCAAGCTAAGAGATAGACACCATACTTTTGGATAGTAAATGAAACAAGAATGAGAAGCATCTCATACTGCCATTTGTTCAAGTTACACTAACATGTTGAGACACAAAAGCCAGGGAATTCTATTTGCAGTGATTATTTTCCTGGCATTTCTTTGGTTTGCCCCTTGACCTTTGAGTTGTTTAAAGATAGTTAGGAAATTTCATTATCTTGTTAACAGGAGTAAATGAAGTATGGGACATTATATGCAATCCGCATTTTTTTATTTGCTTTCTGGGACTTGCTTCTCTTCAGTGGTTTCTTCTATTCAGTGGTTTCTAGAAATGTGTGATGTTGCTTGTTTTTAAATTTAGCCAAGTACTGGCATAATTGTGTGTTGTGTGTGTGTGTGTGTGTGTGTGTGTGTGTGTGTGTGTGTGTGTGCGTGTGCGTGCGCGCACTGATTCTGAGGCTTGAACTCAAGGTCTTGCCTTTTTTGCTCAAGGCTAGCATTCTACCATTGAGCCACACTGCCACTTCAGGCTTTTTGGTGGTTAATTTTAGGTAATAGTCTCACAGACTTACCTGCCCAGGCTGGCTTCAAATGGAGATACTCACATCTTAGCCTCCTGAGTAGCTAGGGTTACAGGTGTGAGCCACCAGCACCTAGTGTGACTGGCATCATTTGCCTTCAATGTATTAACCTAATCATCAGAAGAGCTCACAAAGGGCCTGTAGGTCAATTGGAGACAAACGGTTGAAATTTCAAATTGAACAAGACAATTTAGTAAGAAAGGAATTGACAAAGAGCATAAAGTTCTCTCAGTTCCTCTGAAATTGAGAAGGAAGGGGCATGCCAGACAATATCCAAAGCTAATGTTTCTCTGTATATCAAATACAATGCCATCGCCAGTGCACGTTCCTGGGAATGGCCAGTAGACCTAGTCCCCCAGCCCAGGCATCTGCTCCCAGACCCAGACAAGCAACATCATCCTTAGTGAGGCCTTGTATTCCTTTTCCTTGAGGTCAGATGCTTGTCCAAGGCCCATTTCTCCTCTCCCTATTGCTAATGACAACCCCACCTCACCACAGCCTCACCCCTACAGCTCAACATGATCACCTGCCAACACATAAACCTCCTGTTGCTTTGGAACTGAGTCAGTTGTCAGCACAGCCAGTGTAGGAAGTCAGGCAGCTCTGGTTCACATCTTCATTCATAACCTGTGTGATGTAAACACCCTTTGTTCAAAGCTCTCTTTCCTTCATAGCTGCCAAAATGCCCACCTTTTGCATATGCCATCTTTATGTTCCATCAAGGCTAGAGCAGACCATGAATTTGATGTAACTTAAGACATCCAGAAATTCCCTGAATAAGAACAAAATTTTTTTGGTCTAACTTAAATCAGAGCTTGAAACCTTTCACTTTTTGTCTAGGTGGTTTATTATCATTTCTTGCTTCCAGTGGAATCTTACATTTTAATTACTTTGGAAAACACAGGTGTGATATTTTACAAAATGAAATCACGGCCCCTGGATTTAATGAAATGATCCCTATAAAGGTTGAATTTAAGCCAGGGGCACAATTTATAGTGGGCTGAATTTAAAATTGCATTAGTATTTTATACTGGGGTCGTTTGTGCATTTAACAGAAATAGAGGGGATTGTGATAGACCGATCCTGAAAAATCTCCCATGTCGCCCCTATAAATACTTATTTTCTAAGTTGAAGGGAGGGCTGCCTGTCTCTTGCAAATGTTACAGTTTTTAAATATCCTGAAATGCTTTCAATTAAGTGGTAGGAAACTTTTGAGAGCTGCCTGGGCTCCAAAAGGGCATACAACATGTCCGTCGTAACCAGCGGTATTTCTAGAGAGACCAGGACAATCCAGCCTCTTTGTGGCTCCTACAGCCAGTTCTAAAATCTGTCTGCCTCCTCCGTCAAATCAAATGGCACACCTATTGTCTTGGTAAAATGCTCACCCTCTCCTCCATTTTTCTAGCCATTTTTGGAATGGCTCCCGTATCCCCTAAGATGCCACTCCAAGCAGCCAAAAAGAAAACCAGTCTCACCAAATAACTATCCTGATGCTCCATGCGCAAAGGTCTAAGCGCTAGATGGATTGTACCCAGTGGAAGTTCCACCAGCTTGGTATTTGTTCTCAAGAGTGACAGTAGAAAAGACAGCCACAGTGCCTCCTTCCAGAGAGCAATGCAATGTTCCCAAGGCGAGGTGGAGCCACGAAGCATCCTTCCAAGCCCTCGGCATAACTGCCTGTCTTGTCGTGAGAGACCTTACACTAAGGAACTTCTCTAAGGTCCCTTAGTGTCGCGTCCTATTGGCGAGGTGTTGTTTGAGTGGAGTCTCACTGATTGGATTTTTCACCATAATTGCACCTCAGTCCCAGGAGACCAGCCACAGCCGTAGGTGAATAACTTAGGCATTTAATTTATAATAAAGATAAACTTTGCAATCAGCACTTCTTCTTCCAAAACATTCCATTTACTTGGTTTTAGAGCTGCATAAACTGTTTTAAAGGCAATCTGCTCAATTGGGCGAGTTAATGATATTTAATTTGACCGGGGCCAAACGTCATTGGATGTGCATCCCGCCTATAATCGCAGTCATCATAGGCGTCGTTTGGGGTAATGTAGATGTAATGCTAATCCCATGCATAAAGGTTGTCATTCTCGCTTGGCTGCCAGCGTACACCACAGTCATCACCTCGCTAAGTCTCTCAGCGATGTGATTCTGAGATGACAGTGTAATAAGTGTGATGTGCGCAAGGTAATTCAAAACAAATTTGGCTGCAAGAATGGATCATCTAGGACAGTAAACTCCCGCCTTGTCAGATCGTCTTTTAAGAGGATGTAATGATCCCTAAAATGCCTTGTCAAGAAGCTTGTGTGGCACGGGTCAAGACCTGTATAACTGATCTGTTATAAGCCCCACTCTCCACCCCTGAAAATCCCATGTTAGAGACTGAAAAATATTCATGCATACATTGGGAGTCTGGGAACGCAACACAGGCAGGAAAGTGAAGTCTTTGGGTAAATCAGTTTCTCAAGCCCACCTTACCAGCCTGGAGTTTGCTGCTTTGATTCCTATATTGTTTGTCTCCTAAGGAAGTGTAACTACTCTGGTATAGGCTCTCTCTTAAGTGCTGATATCTTAGTTATGATTGGCATGATAGGAACTAGCATTAGATTATCTTATTGAAACTGTGCAATAACCCCAAGATACAACATACTATAACTATACTGTTTTTGCAGATGAGAAAATAGACTTCAAGACGATAAATTCCCAAAGCTAGGGTTCCACCCCTGACCAACTGTCAAAGTTAATGTCTTCTGCCACTCTTTCTTGAGCTTTAAGCATAAAGAGATCAGTTGGGTGCTGGTAGATCACACCTATAATCCTAGATAGCAGGAGGCTGAGAACTGAGGATCTTGATTCATAGCCAGCCCAGGCAAGAAAACAGAGCTATGGCTCAACTGTTAGAACACCAGTATTGAGTAAAAAGGCTAAGAGAAAGCACCCAAGATCTGAATTCAAACCCCAGTATCGGCACAAAAAAATAAATAAAAAGACATCATAGCAGGCACTGGTGGCCCACACTTGCAATCCTAGCTTCCTTGAGTGGGTGGCTGAGATTGAGAGGATTGTAGTTTCAGGTGAGCACTGGCTGAATGGTTTGTGAACCCTTTCTTAACTCATAGCTGGGCATTATGTTTCATGACTCCAATCCCAAGCTACATGGGAGGGTGCGTTAAATAGTTGGACCTCTGGGTTGCTTAACTGATTTCATTTTCTAGAAATAAAGTTCTAGTGTGTTTTATCTGGCATTTTCTGTTCTAAAGCTAGAGCTATGTTGAGTTATTCACAAGGGTTCCAATGACCTCCGCCATTCTCAACCACCAGGAAGCACCTAGCTATGTCTTAACATGGGCTACTTAGAGGCTAGAGACAAGGGAGGTAAGCATACCTTTGGTCCTTCCCACTTGCCAAAACAATAAAAAGAGAACGACAGAGAAATGTCTTCACCTGAGTCATATAATGACAGTTGTTCAGTAAGTAGAGCCACTGGAGCTACAACAGAAGCCAAGCACTATTGACTACAGGAACTAAAACAGTAATTAAGCTATTGTTTTCCCAGCCATTGCTCTTTGGAGTTTCTTCTCTATATTTCACATCTCTGCCTACAATCTATGCTGGTTTCAGTGGATTTTTTTTTAAGGAAAAACAAGCCAATTTTTAAAAAGAGACTTTGTACTATAGTCATAAAAGGAAGACAAGTATCACCTAACACAAACTGGGGGGAAAAATACACACTATGGAAATAGGACAATGTAATTAATTTCTAGTTAAGCTATCACTGCCTGCTAAAAAAGAGCCTCGGGCAGCTCTTTTTATGGGTAAAATGAGCAAATGGTGAAATTGCATTAAAGACTTCCTGGTAAGATGCCAAGATATTCCCACTGTGAGACTTACCATTTAATACCAGATCTGTAGGTCTCCAAACTGGCCTCCTTCCCACCATACCTTCTTCACAAAGCCAGAGCACAGAGAATGCAAGATTTCTAGCTCTCTGTGTTGTTTCTTTCCGCTAGCTACTCTTACCCAGAAACTCTTCCTCCACACCAGTCTTTCTACCGTTGGCTTTATTCTAACCATGTCCCACCATTTCTATGTCTCCACAGGTAAACGGCAAAGATTTATCCAGAGCAACTCATGACCAGGCTGTGGAAGCTTTCAAGACAGCCAAAGAGCCCATTGTGGTCCAGGTACTGAGGAGGACACCTCGGACCAAAATGTTCACGCCACCTGCAGAGTCGCAGCTGGTGGATACAGGCACTCAAACTGACATCACCTTTGAACACATCATGGCACTGACCAAGATATCTTCACCCAGCCCACCTGTGCTGGACCCCTACTTGCTGCCAGAGGAGTAAGTAACCCAGTCGTGATTCAGGAACCTGGTAAAATAAATTAAATGTTAAAATTTAGGGCAAAGTTGACTTTGTCTGTTCCGTGCAGAGAAGAAAATGAATACATCTTACACTTTTCCTCCCCAAGTCGCCTGTGTTTAACTTTATTGTTTATAGATGCAATAAATTGAGTCCTGCTCAAAACTACTCTGACATATTAATGACTTTATTATAACCCTGCAGCAGAGTTATTCAAATTATATTCTCAGAACAAAATTACTTACAAATGTTGTAAAAGTTGTTTTGAAATAAAATTTAATCACCGCAAATGGTAATTTGCAGATTTTTGTAGCTCTCACTGGAGGGAATGATGCCTGGGCTCAGAAATAAACAACCAAGCAAGCCGTGAGTGGCAAGAGCCCCAGTGGCTATGCCCTCCGCTTCCGTGGGTCTCATTTCCAACCTGCAGCCAGGCCCTGAGCCCGCGCACGTCCCTGTCAGAATTGCCTGGGCCAATTAAATAGCAGCTGTGTGATTCAAACACATTTCTGCATGACTCTGCCTTCCTGCTTTATGTAAGAAACATAGAACCTTGTAGTCAGACAAACCTGATGCTCAAACTAATTCCTGGCTGTGGAAGTTGGGGAATTGGGGGTTCGTTTTCCTATGTTGTACGCAAATGGAGATAAAAATCATATTGATCTCATAGGACAGCTGAAGTATTAAATGAAGAAATGTGTGGGAAATCCTTAGCGTAGCATATGGTAGTGGTGATCATTAATTTTGTGATGGACATAAAATACTCAAGAAAAAGTGAAGAGTAAGAAACTTTCTGAGCTAGATGGTTGGCTTAAAGAAGTCCTATTAAATGTAGCTCTCTCCTGTGACTGGGTATCCAAAGGCACACATTCCCTGGCTGGCACAAGACATCCATTTCATCCCAGCTCTTCGGGATAATTGACTAGATGCATTGCTTTAAAGGGCGCTTTCCCTTTTGCAGGGAATCCTTGAGCAGTGCCTCTTAAGTTTCTATTAGTAACCCAGTAGCCACAGTGAGCCCACATTTCCTTTGGTTCTGTCAGATTCCAGCCAAAGGTTTGCCTTTCATCGCATGGGTTTAGTGGTGAGCTGTCAGCAGCTCTCAGCACTAATTCCCCAAGCTTGACCGAAGCAAGCTTTGTTGTCACTGACACTGTACCAGGGGAGGGGACAGGGACCGCCATCCGACACGTGCAGTGTGCAAATGGGCTAAAGGCTGTGGCCTCCCTTATCTCTCGCAGCTGTTCCTCCCGCACAAACGGGGCGCTGCACTCTCAGCACCTGCTGCTCGCTAAGGTGGCGGTGGCTGGTGGAGAAGCAGGGCTGTCAGACCTCAAGTCCCAGTTCTGAGCGATGACACTGTAGTGGTAAGCAGTCCTGGGAAACAGCTGGCCCATTCCCTAAGTATGGCTGTTCAAACCAGTTATGGGAGAAGCCAGACTGCCACAGTCTCACATTATTGATGAGGCTTCTCAGGCTACCCTCAGAGGTTGAACTCTCACAGCGACAGACCTTTGGGATGCCAAACCCCTAATTTCCTCTTACGTCTTGTTAACCTGACATGACATTCCCCCAGGGATGACTTGGGAAATGTCAGAAGAGACCAGAGGTCAGGCCTTGCCCGGTCTGGCTGTGAGGTCAGGCAGCACCCAGAGTGAGCGTCCGGCCGGAGTGGGGAGCATTGAGTGGATGTTTGCAGGCCCAGCCCTCTGAACAGTATCCTCAGGTCTAAAAGCCCCTTAAGTGCAGGCAGTATATTTGCCCAATGGGTCTGGAAAATTGAAAGCCAGCCCTTGCTTAAATGACCACTCAAATCTGCTCTGTTGTCTTAAGTGCCTGGGAGGGATGACCAGAGCCCCTTAATGGCTGCCTGACCTTTAAGAACTGGGGCAGGCTGGGTCCCCAGCCAACAGCAATCCAAGGCAGCAATGTACCACTCGCCTCTGTTCTGTGGACTCAAAGCTCCTTCAGAGCTGCCAGCTGGCAGATTTTCATTCCCTTTGCCTTTGCAAGGCTCTGTTCCACTATGGATGTTTCCAGAAGATGGCTCCTGGCCTCCTAGCAGCATGAGTATATATGTGCACACACACACACACACATACACACACACACACACCCATATGCGTTTATGTCTGCCTGGCTGTGCCTACCTTACAGGCACTATGTAATGCTAGTAACACATTTCTTACAGTCCAGACAACTCAAAAATTCACTGTTCTAGCTGATAGTATAGCAGTTTCCATCACCGCCCTTGAGACTGATGGCCCAGGTCAGCATGAATCTCTGAGCATTGCCTGAAGTCGAGCCTCCTTCTCCTAAGAGATAAAAATCAAATGAAGAAGCAGGCAGCAGGAAGTATAGGCCTGTCTCCTGTCTCCTGCCCAGAGAGGAGTTAGAAATGAGTCACCTTGAATCGCATGATAGTGGGCTAGCAGATGGATTCTGGAAAGAACTAAGTCATCCATCCTCGCCTTGTGCCTTGCATCTTAACTCTCCCTGAGCAAATAAAGTCTAAGGGGTAGAAACATTAGGATAGAGGCCCCGACCCCCATGGACAGCCACATCCCAGGGGAATGGACATGGAGCTAACTGTCAGCTTGCTGGGAAGGACAAGATATGGAAGGGGAAATCATGAATGCCAGACAGGAAAAGGCGGTGGTTCAGGGCTCGTTTCACTACTTGTAAGTGATGCTATGACACATATAGAAAATGGACTATTAATTCAAAGATTCAGAAACCCCTATGTAAAGTGAAAAGGAGTTACTGTGGAAGGCTCCACCTGACAAGATGTGATGAGGGTGATTTTTAAAAAGTACCTGATTCTGGAAGCAGCTCCTTAAGGAGTATTTATTGTTCCTTAGGCACTCCTCAGCCCATGAATACTATGATCCAAATGATTACATGGGAGACATGCATCAGGAGATGGACAGAGAGGAGCTGGAGCTGGAGGTAAGTAGCACACCTTTGTCTCCTTTTGAGAAGTCTATTGGACACATAGAATGTCATGTTCTCTACAAGCACAATCAAGTTTATGATGCAAGTGGAATGATGAAAAGCAGAACCCACTTCAGTTGTGCACTTGAAAGGGTACAGCTGGATTTTTCTTCCCTCCTGCAGTTCAAAACAAAGCAAAACAACCAGGCTGTTTAAAGATAGGGCCAGTTCTCAGCACTGGACCCCGGGACATCTGCACATCCTGTATCTAATGCAAGCCTCCTCTTTCTGGGCATTTATGTTCCTAACCGCATCTTCCTCAAAGACTAATACTCAATAAGTGAACGATGTGAGTGATTATCATATACTCCAAATAGAAAGGGCCTGTTCCCAGAGTGAGTCTCTCCCTGCAAATATGTTCTGTCTATAAGTTTCAAGAGATTTACTGTTCATTGAACCTCCATGGTATCTGCCAAATATGAGCCTTTCTGCCTTGTGATTTTTGGGGGGGACAACCATGTATCACCAGTCTGTTGTTGCTTTTTGTTTCTCTTTAGTCAAATCAAATCAACTAAGGTAGCAAGTAGACTGTCAGCACCCACTGCCCTAAATAGACAGTTCATAGAATTAAATGCACTGGATACCAGTAGTACCACTTCTTGCTCTCTATATGTTTTTCTGGAAAAATTAGCTAATATGAGTAATATTAGCTAATATGACTAGGCTAATGTGATTCTTTCTACCTGAATGGAGGAATTCTCAAGCAGGCACTTCTGAAAATCTCTTGAGTCGGGCAGGAAACAGTACCCCAGGACCTTGTTGTTTAGAGTATGGTGCCAAGATAGGCAGGCTGGCCGTACCTGGGAGATGTGAGAACCACGGAATGTTGATTCCAAGACCTCCACAGCCAGAGTGTGTCATTTAACAAGGTCCTGGGGCCCTGATACACCTTACAGTCACCGAAGCCCTGACTGAGACACCAGCATCTCAGATGAAGACAACCAAGCCTGGTGTCTTTTTGTGCTCCTTCCTGAGTCACAGTGTCCCATCCATCATTCACCTAGCATAGACACCAGTGCCCACCACACTGTCCCTGCCGAGTCACCAAAGACTAGAATTGGCTGAGCTCCTTGGAGAAAAATGACACTGACCATTAGACTTTGCATAAATAAAAGCAGAGATAAAGAAACCAAGTGTCTAGAGAACTCCTGGTGTGTTTTACACGAGACTTTTGACACTGTGAACTTTAGAGCCATGCTTCAGGTCTACCCATTAGCTTTTACAGAGCATCTGCTACAAAGTTTGTCAAGGAAAGACAGCATCAGACAATGACCACCCTGCTTGCTTTAAGGAGCTCTCCCACCCATTGGCACTACTGGACATTGGCTTTTAATTCCTTAGAAAACCAGAATGTGGCCATCTGTAGCCCCTTTGAGGGGTGCCCTGGTTCCACACTGGATGGGAAGGCTCCTTTCCTTGGCTGGCATGCACTAGCCAGCTCACAGCCATTCTTGAACTGTCACCATTTGTCTGTCTCCGGCCTGCCTTGTTCCAGCTGCTGGATATGATTGCAGAAGGGTCAGGTTTATTTTCAAGTAAAGCACCATTCTCCAAACGGTGCTCTTCACCCCCACTGAATAAATACAAAGTCAGCACCTCTGAAGGAACAACCCGTTCCACCAGCGTTCTATGCGAGGACAATATATATGAGCACACTGGGATGTTACTAAAGCCAATGCACAGAGAAAAACAGATGTTCTCTCTCTTACAGTACACAAAATGATCATATTTAGGTAAGTGTCAAATCCCTGTTATTGTGAAATTGCTTAGAGTTCAAGGGATTATTCCCAAGTATACCCCAAGGGTTAAGCAGCCAAATAATTACCCATAAATTTTCAGGTACTGAACACCTGCTCTAGGTCTTCTTATAGGCAATTATGAAAGGCAATGGATGTCGGAAGAAGGCTTTTCCACTCTTCTGTTCTTTTAATTTCCCTGGTGACTCAACAGTAGCATCTTAGCTGGGGCTCCAAAGCTGCAGCCTACCCATATTGCCTTGATGATGTCGTCCTGAGAATGGAATGAAGAAGGAAGCTACCATTTTAACAGGGGCTAAAGTGACCTCCCCACCTGAATTCCTAGACTAAATGGAAATTGGGATTGTCCTGGAAGTGATGCAGGGGGCTCCAGCCAATTTAGAAATCTCTCACTGTGGCTTATGAGACACAGAGCTAAAGAACTGTATTAGGGAGCCTGGCCAGGGGTCTGCCCCGCCTCCACTGAGTCAGCCTTCTAACGACTCGTCTATTAATCACCATTATCTCCTTACCATCTGTCTCCCCCAGCAGCATACTAGAGCCATGAGAGACCAACCCTTGTCTGCCTCCTGCCTAAGTAATGCCAGGCATAGAGAAGGCACCAAATAGTTAGCCACCTAAAGAATTACTGAAGGAAAAAATGTCTTTGTTACCCTACCTCAAGTGTAAGGTCCTTAAGGGAAAAAAAATGCAGTCTTTTTAGAGACATCACTACACATAGCACCATGCAGGCATATAGATACTGGTGAGGTAAGTTAAAGAAGTATGCAAAGCAGTCCTGGACCAGTTAGGTGAAGAGCAATGCATCAGTGGCCAGGCCTCTTGGAGGTGAATAAACCATTCATGTTATGTTTGCAATCCCTTCTGATTCAAGTGGCTGATGCTGTAACAGAGAACTTTAGTCACAAGATAGAATGGTCCTCTTTATATTCCTAATTGGAATAGCATGTCCATTCCGTCTACAAAGTAGGCCTAGCTGCTGGTGTTTATCAAATAGTCCATCTAGACCAGAAAGCAGCAACAGGACACCAGCCATGCGGGTAGCTTTTATCCAGATAATGCTAATACATTATTCATAGTAGTTTGATTAATGGTCTTCGGTGAAATCTTATCTCCATCATCATAGACAGATCTGTAATGATAACCTCGATCCTTTCAGTCAAGAGCTTATTGGTGTAAGGCTGGCTCAGAGGCAGAAAGCAATATTGAGATTTTCCAAACCGCTCAATAAGTGAAGAATTTCACCTTCCATTGAGCCCAAATACTGTGTCTGATTTTAAAATTGTGAAGTGACTTGCTACCTTGCTCATAATTCACACAGCTAAGCTTATTTCATTTGATCCTTCACCTGCCACACAATCTCAAGTTCATGTGTTCAGTTTTAGTGAGCACCTACTATACACAGCATTTGAAGCTAGACATTGCATTTATTGTACAAGCCATCCTCCCACTAGCCATGGCTTATCTCCCAGCTATGGTTAACCAAAGACTTGTAAAGATCCAAAGACAACAGCAGCTCTTCCACTGTTGTTTCTCAAGAGCTTCTGGGTTTCTCAAGAGCCTCTTCTAGGTCTAACCATAAACCACGAGCACAGCCTCTTTTCTGGGGTATGGGACCACTCAGAAAAACTGAACAGCGAGGGTTAGGCTGTGTCCTAAATGATGATTCTCTGGCTTTTATTCAGCTTCTAAGATGGTATAGTCCACCACCAGTGTATCCAGCATCAGTGTTAAGTACATTCCTAAACTCTAGAATAATATCCTTTGCTTGGTTATCACTCATGATTTGCCATCATCGGTTTGTCTGATAGACTCATCCTTTAAAAACAGACCAATGGGGAAAAATGATGAAAGGGGCGATATCAATCAAGATGCATTGTACTGATAAACTGATTTGGTGAATGGCAACTCCTTTGTACAAGTACTTGAAAATAACAAAAAAATCTTTATTTTTAATTTTATTTATATATTTGTATTATATTTAAGTATTTGTATAAGCTTATACAAATATAATTTTTCATAATTTTATAAAAGGTTATATTTTATAATTATGTTCTAATTTATAATGTTATATTTTATAATTTTAGGTGATAAATCAAACTGTTCTATATTTACAAGTATAAATTATATTATCTAAAGTATGTAATTTAAATATAATTATATAATATAAATTGTATGATTTATGATTTATAATTATTTCTTAAATATATAATTTATAAATTGTCTTTTTTATTATCTTGAAGTAGTTGTGCAAAGGGGTTACCATCCAATAAATCAGTTTATAAGTACATCACATTCTGACTGATACTCCTCTCATCATTTCCTTCATCTCTCCCAACCCATCCCTGCCCTCAAGTTTCATAGGTTATACTTTGAATATTATGACTGCAATTAAATATAATCAGGGAAAGAAAACAGAGAAAACTCAAAAATAGCAGAACTGAAAGAAACGCATAAATATAAAAACATAGACCACCTCCAAGATGGTACCATGGTCCCAGAGTGTACGCCGCTGCCATTCTTAGGTCTGTTTTAAAGATCGGGTCCTCAGGTTTTGCTTCCAACCAGTTGGCCTGTGGAGTGGATTAAGAGTCAGCACCTCCTCCTCCCTCCCCTCACAAGTGCCTGTGTCGCCTGGGAGCGGAGGCTGGCTGGCCACTTATCTATGTGAAGGAAGGAATTTGGCCCTGTTACAAACTGAGAATGTGACAGGGACAGTTCTGTTCCTGAGAGGATTAGTGATTTGAGTTGAAGGCTAAAGGTGCTGTTGAACTCTGCTGCATTGTGCTATTGTGAGGGTTCGTGTTTTCTAAGACTATTCTCACTAGGAGAAACCCTAGAAATAGAGCCACCTTGGCCTCCTGCCGAAGCAGGAAGCAGTTATTAAGCATTTGCAGAGAATCGACTTCAGCTTTGAGTATCTGTATCTAAAGTGCTTGGGACCAGAGGGCTTTGGATTTCAGATTTTGGAACATTTGCACATACGTAATGAGGTATCTAGCCGGGATGAGGCTCAGGTGTGTACATGAAAATGTGTATGTGTCATAAAGATCGCTTTAGATTAGGGATAACCTACCTGTACTAGTTTGCTAACTGAACATGGAGGAAGAGGCAGCAAACTAAGTGTGTAAGGGTGCACAAGTGATCCTCCACTTAATTATCAGTGATGCGGGTAGAAATAGTCCAAAGTTCTCACCACGTGACCACTCTATTTGTAGCAGGACAATTGGTATTTCAAAGGACTTGGCATTTGCCATTATCATTATATATTATCCATTTACCCATGTTTACAATGGGTTCTAAAAACATTAGTTTCCAGACAAGGCAACTAAATTACCAGAAATTTGTAGTTTTAGTAAATGTGAATTTACTATACATTACTAGAGCTATAATTAGGCAGTCACTGAATTAATGTATCAGTGATCGGGAAATAAATTAAAGGTGTCCTATTGAGGCATTGATAATGTGCCCCCTGTACCCATAACCACAGGCAAGCAGACAGTTATTACACATAGTTATTACACTGCAGCTTACTGTGGGCTTTCTGCGGATCAGGAGCCAGGCTAAGAGGCCATCCTACCCTGTCCAACAGGAGCTAGTGATGGAACAGAGCTCAGTTTTGTAAAATAAGCCTCTGACTGAACTTCTCAACATAGGTAGAACGGGGATTTGTACACAGGTCTACATGTTTTCCTAAGGGAAACTGAGTTCCTTTCGGGGAACCCAGCATGTCCTCCCAGAGCTCCTACAGTTGTCAAGGTTCTGACTTTACCCTGGAATGCAAACTAATTGGCTCTACAGTATCATTTCCTGTCATCACAAGCCTGTGTTTGGGCTCACTTTGCTTTCCTCTTATTTAATTTGTAGTAATAGCAGCTGAACCTCCTTCCTCCACTGTAAATATCAGCGCTGTGGTGGAAAACATTAATTGCACACTATCACTCTACTCTCCTTTCTTGGATCAATTTTGTGTAAATCTGTTTGCAAGTTCTGTGACAGAATATTAAGGGAACACAACGTGAAATAATCTAGCCGAACACACTGGAAACATTTGTACTGAAATGGAGAGGTGGTTTGGAGTATGGAAATATCATTGTTTGTGGCAGACATTGAAGAAATGCTTTTTAAAAGCCCTACCCCTGAGGTCTTGACGCTGAGTAAAATATGGGTAATTTTTCTTTGGGAAGATCAATAAAATAACTATTTTCAAAATGACTTTATATTGACTGAAAGGTCAGAAATGCCCTGGGCATTGATCCCATGTCCATAATCACTTTTTTGTTCAGTAAGTTAACTGGCTCTACACAATCGAATGCAAAGAAAGCCAGTTCATCATTTATAAACAAAATATTTTCAAAGCATTTGACATCTTGCCAGCTCCCAGTGCCTGCCTGCGTCTCACCAGCAGTGCTTGCTTTGTCTAGGAAGTAGACCTCTACAGAATGAACAGCCAGGACAAGCTGGGGCTCACCGTATGCTACCGGACAGATGATGAAGATGACATTGGCATTTATATAAGTGAGGTACAAAAAATGAATTCTTTAACATTATAAGGTGAAGCCCCAAAGGGTGGGATTTTTGTCTTTTGTTTGATGTGCTCACCAACCCTAACTCTAGCTCCTCCAGAAGTCTTTGGAGAGACACAGACAGATCACCTGTCTCCTTCATCACACACTAGGGAACTGAAGCTGAACAGGAGGGTGATGTCCTAATGTCAGCACATACGGCAGAATTACCCTGGAGAAGGTTCAAATCAACCATAAAATGGTGCCATTTACATGGTTCTGGTGTTCAGCCCCGAGGGAACAGCAAATTTGTGTTTCCTAACTCATGATCCTTGAGCAGAATGGTTCATAGAGTCACAAAGACATTTTAGTCTCTCCCTCCCTCTCACCCTCTCTCTAATTTTGGTGGCATGTATATAAACTATATGCAAACTATATATATATATATATATATATATATCATTTAACAGTCTTTTATAGGTACTGATGAAATCCCTACATGAAAGCTGTTTTGCTCTTCATAGAAAATAAACAAAAGAAAACAGTACCAAGCAACTGACTTCACTATCGATTCTTTACCATGAATGCCCTTCCTTGCAAGGACAGAGATGCAGTTTCATCAGAAAATAACAGCTGTCTCTGGATGACGCTTGGCATTTTGTATCATGGTCTTTTAACACATCTCTCCCATACACATTCCCATTTGTAGCAATTCTATTCTTGAAATTATTCCCCAAATTTAATGTAAGCAGTTGGTACAAAATAATCAAGGTAGGGTTGCTAGTCACCATAATGGGGGCCACCTTTTAACCTGATCTGCATCCCTGATTGCCTTTTAATTACTAAGTGTGCAACAGGAGTCATCTGTAAACCCTCAGGTTTGCAGAGCTGTGCGGAATTCTGTGCAGAACAGGACTGGCAAGCAGGAAGCTAACCAGAGGCAGGCCTTGGAGTCAGATTGATGCTTGTTCCTCTAACTCTACCCAATACTAGGTCTCCTTTACATCCATGTAAAAGCCAAGGATGGGCATCATTCTGTGTTAAGGATGGCTTTGGAAAATGCACTTGCTTATTTTCATGCACATCTGGGGTCATGCTGAGAGAGGTCTGCTGTCTGTTTCAGATTGACCCTAACAGCATTGCAGCCAAGGATGGGCGCATTCGAGAAGGAGACCGCATTATCCAGGTAGGTTTAACCTGGGGGCCTCTTTGTATACCCAGAACCAAAGAACCAAGCGGCTCTAATAGAGGATATCCAGGAAGTAAAAGTTAAAGGACAAAGGGGCATAAAGTCAGACAGGAAAGCCAAGCTAAGTCAGAGAGTGAGGTAAGAGGGTGCTAGAAGCTCACACCTATAATCCTAGCTACTCAGGAGACTGAGATCTGAGGATCATGGCCAAAGCCAACCCAGACAAGAAAGTCCTTGAGACTCTAATAACCAAAAAGGTAACGTGGAGCTGTGGCTCACGTGGAAGAACATGAGCTTTGAGTGAAATAGCTAAGGGAGTTTGAGCTCCAATACAGGCGTGTGCGCGCACACACACACACACACACACAGAGGTAAACTAAGGAGTAAGATGTGGAGGGACATCTGAAGACCACGGCCCCACCTAAACAGGGCCTTACCAAACACCAGCCAGTGTGCTTCACGTTGGTTCATTCTATAGGACCCAGAGTCTGACATCACAGAAATCAGGCCCACCATTTTATGGCTTGTGACTCTTTAATTCTCAGTTTTTGGTGTCTAAAAGATTAACTTTAGACCAAGAACTTCAAGATAGCCATTGTTATTAACATGGGAACATCCCTGGCTAATTTTCCAAAATGATCACAAAGTCTTACATTTAAGGACTCAGAATTCAAGCATCTTGTTCTTGCCTCTAAGGTAGCGTGTGTGTGTGTGTGTGTGTGTGTGTGTGTGTGTGTGTGTGTGTGTGTGTGTGTGTGTGTGTGGAGAAGGGGGAAGGGGAAGAGGGGGAGAGAGGGAGAGGGAGGGAGAGAAAGAGGGAGGGAGGGAGGGAGAGCGAGAGAGAGAGAGTGTGTGTGTCTTGGATTTATACCCAGGCTGGCCTGGACCACAGCCCTCCTATTTACAATGTAAGCCACCACACCCAGCTGAAATCGAGATCCTTGGCTTCATTAGGTGAAGATGAGGCACAGCTCTCTGCCTCCTCTCACTTAGAATCCACTGTGTTTTTCCCATCATGTATCCTGGCCCAGTTTGGATTTCCTTCTACGTTTCCCCAGCCTTGAGCCACAACCTCAGCTACAGAGACTCCTTCTCTGGGAAGGAGATCTTCATTCTCCAAGGGTCAGAATCCACAGAATACCATCTTTTTTTTATTTTGGGGGGGAAAGAGGTTGCTAGTCTTTATAATTAGAGAGAGAGACCCATCTGAGTTGCAGATGCGGTCCGCCATGTGGCATGCCTCCCTGTGGCAGGGCAGCCCCGTGTCCCCCAGGAATCAGGACCAGCCACATCAGCCAGGAGAATCTCACCTTTCGCTGTGTCTGGGTTCCCTGGCATGAGATAGCAACGCCAGATAACAGGCTTGGCGTTCACCTCAGTGTTCACCTGAGACCTGCTGAGCTCCACATCTCTAGGGCGTACAAGCAGAAATCCCTCTAGAAGGTTGTCCAGGCTAACGTGTCAAACTGTAACTGTGAAACGCTGCATAACTGCATCCCCTTCTGTGCTCTCCATTTACCTCATTTCTCTCATCAGACCCATTGCTGCCTCTCCCCCCACCCCTACATTACTCAGAAGCACCTGTAATGATGCTTCCATGTGCTCCACTTATACTCCTGCCTGAATGTGCTGTCAGAGTAAAGCTGAAAGATGCCCTCTGCCCAACAGCAGTTGTGTCACTTTCTAGGATTTGCCACATCACGGTCACCCCATACCCTATACCTGTGGAGGGTCACATAGAGTGGAGAAGCTGTATCAGCAAGGCCTTTCCTTCCCCAGATCAGCATTGTTTTCAAGCTACCTGGAACTTGTGTGTTCCAGCTGTGAGAGGTAACCAATGCAGACCTGAAATAAGATACAGTTTCTTTGTACAATCTAACCAGGTTGTCTCCCCACCCCCACATCTTTTTTTAGATTAATGGAATAGAGGTACAGAACCGTGAAGAAGCTGTGGCTCTTCTGACCAGTGAAGAAAATAAGAACTTTTCATTGCTGATTGCAAGGCCTGAACTCCAGGTGAGTTGGCTTCCTGCAGGTAGAACTGCGTTTGTATTTCTAAAGTCAAAGTAAGTCCCCAGCCTTGCAGAACAGTGCATTTAGTATTTAGTCTGAACTTGCAGGTGCTTGCTTCCTGGGAAGGGTAGCTGAACTTGCTGTGAGTTAGAAGCCATACACAAATGGACATAGCTGTGTTCTTGAAACTTTTTTTTTCTTTTTGTGCCTTCACTGGGGCTTGAACTCAAGGCCCTGTGCTCTCACACTGAACCTTTTGAGAAAGAAAACACATCTGGCAAGCTTGTGGATTCCGGACTGCCATGCTCTCCTAAAGGCAAAGAAGGTTTACTAGCTAGTTGGTGGTAAACCTACTTTTTTTGTTACGAGACCTAAAATAGTTGACATAGATTAAAAATTGTCACTGGAAAACAAACCACAACTAAACATTGGCAACATCCAGGTCAGGCCAGGTCAGTTTCTGACCTACAGCAAAGCAATGGAAAGCTTGCTTTCTGACTTTTAGAGGGAGACCCAGAAGTATTTTTCCCCAAGGTGATGTCCTGTCTTGAGAGAAGGGAGGGAAGGAGACAGGAAAGGAAGGGAGAACATGAAATTCAAAGGGAACTCTGCTAAGACATGCACTGGCTTCTTTCTTCGCCCCACCCCCACCCCCAGCTGGACGAGGGATGGATGGATGACGACAGGAATGACTTTCTGGATGAGCTGCACATGGACATGCTTGAGGAACAGCACCACCAGGCAATGCAGTTCACATCCAGCGTGTTCCAGCAGGTAACACCCCAGGGAGCCCCATACCCTGTGCAGCTGCAGAAAAATCTGCTTCCTCCATCTCCCTTCATGTTGCTAACGACCATCAGCAACCCACCCGCCTGGAAGATGGCAGGAAAACTGCTTAAGTGCTTTTTCCATTTGAACAAGATAGCTGATACTCTTGCATGTAAGCAAGAGTACATTTCTCTGAGCAAGCTTTTAAGGCTGAGCGACAGTACCCAGCATCACTGACACGATATTTGTCAGGAAAACATATATATATGTAAATATATATCATATATATGGTATATATATTTGGTATATATATATATGATATATAATATGGTAGGTAGATAGATAGGTAGATAGATAGATAGATAGTATTTATTTATACCTGTGTTTTTGGAGAGCCAGAGAAAATTACGTCATGTTTTTACCAAATAAAGCAATTTCCCTGATTAACCTGATGTGCCCAGAACCCTACTGCTCTTGGCGAGGGAACTGTCATACCCATAGCCAGTCCAATGACCCACTTGCTGAGTCCCCTGTGAATTCTATGCATCCTGCAACCATGCAACAGTCCATGCAGAACTGCCTTTCATCCCCACGTTAGGGATGAGAATCCACTCAGGTAATCTCATACCTCGTGAGGTATTCTCATAAGGACTGGCCAATTCTCCATTTGCCTGGAGACCTAGCCCTACATAATGTGATACTAGCTTTCGATATGTAGAGCCTGCCCAATGGGCAACATGTCCTTCAGGGGCAGTCAGCCTAGGGAACACCAGATCCCTCATTCATTCTTGTCGGTTCTGTCTGTAGAAGAAGCACGAGGAAGATGGAGGGACCACCGACACCGCCACCATCATGTCCAACCAGCACGAGAAGGACAGCGGCGTGGGGCGGACGGATGAGAGCACGCGCAACGACGAGAGCTCCGAGCAGGAGAACAACGGCGACGACGCCACGGCCTCCTCCTCCAACCCGCTGGCGGGCCAGAGGAAGCTCACCTGTAGCCAGGACACCCTGGGCAGCGGCGACCTGCCTTTCAGCAACGAGTCCTTCATCTCGGCCGACTGCACCGACGTGGATTACCTGGGCATCCCGGTGGACGAGTGCGAGCGCTTCCGCGAGCTGCTGGAGCTCAAGTGCCAGGTGAAGAGCGCCAGCCCCTACGGCCTGTACTACCCGGGCAGCCCGCTGGAGGCGGGCAAGAGCGACCCCGACAGCGTGGACAAGGAGCTGGAGCTCCTCAACGAGGAGCTGCGCAGCATCGAGCTGGAGTGCCTGAGCATCGTGCGCGCGCACAAGATGCAGCAGCTGAAGGAGCCGTGCGCGCGCGAGCCGTGGATGCTGCACCACAGCGCCTTCCGCAACTACAACACCAGCATCGACCTGCGCCGCCACGAGCTCTCCGACATCACCGAGCTGCCCGAGAAGTCGGACAAGGATAGTTCGAGCGCCTACAACACCGGGGAGAGTTGCCGCAGCACGCCGCTCACCCTGGAGACCTCCCCGGACAACTCTCTCCGGAGAGCGGCCCAGGGCGCCCCCACGGAGGCCTACGGGCCGTCCCCCAAAAATCTGCTCGCCATCACCGAAGACCCCGAGACCATCACCCCGAGTTACAACAACCCGGCCGCCAAAGAGCTGGACCCCGGCCTGTCTCCGGAGAGCAAGGATCACCGCGCCGGGGGTGGGGACGGCCGGAGCCCCAGCGCCAGCCCCCCGAAGCTGGGCGGCGGCGCCTACCTGTCCCCGTACCCCCACTCCCCGTACAAACACGCGCACATCCCCGCGCACGCGCAGCACTACCAGAGCTACATGCAGCTCATCCAGCAGAAGTCGGCCGTGGAGTACGCGCAGAGCCAGATGAGCCTGGTGAGCATGTGCAAGGACCTGAACTCCTCCCACTCGTCCACCGAGCCCCGGATGGAGTGGAAGGTGAAGGTCCGCAGCGACGGCACGCGCTACATCACCAAGAGGCCCGTGCGCGACCGGCTGCTGCGCGAGCGCGCGCTGCGCATCCGCGAGGAGCGCAGCGGCATGACCACCGACGACGACGCGGTGAGCGAGATGAAGATGGGGCGCTACTGGAGCAAGGAGGAGCGCAAGCAGCACCTGGTGAAGGCCAAGGAGCAGCGGCGGAGGCGCGAGTTCATGATGCAGAGCCGGCTGGATTGTCTGAAGGAGCAGCAGCAGCAGCAGCAGCAAGGGGCGGACGACCGGAAGGAGGTCAATATCCTCGAACTGAGCCACAAGAAAATGATGAAGAAGAGGAATAAGAAGATCTTCGACAACTGGATGACCATCCAGGAACTCCTCACGCACGGCACCAAGTCCCCGGACGGCACCCGGGTGTACAATTCCTTCCTGTCCGTGACGACTGTATGACTCTCATGTCTGCAGGGTGTACATAAGAGACCAGCTCCCGTTGGGGTAGATGAGATTCCTGCCTCGTTCAATGCGGCAAGATTTGGGGTTTGTTTGTTTGTTTGTTTGTTTTGTATATAAGATAACCGCAGTCATCGTGTGGATAGGTCAACCTGGCCACCCCCTACAGCTTCGGGTGTCACAGCGCTGTCTGAAGTGGAGGTTAAAATAATTAATAATAATGAATAACAATACACCCTTCCTGTCTTAGAAGGCAATATTAACAAACAGCTTTTTTCAAATAGCAATTGTACTTTTTTACTTGTTACCTTTTGCATAAAGTGTTTAAATTTCCAAAAAAAAAAAAGATTTTATTAAGCATACTTTCACAGAATAATTTGTTTAAACTATATTCTTATTGAAAAAAAAAGTTACACACGCTTTTTTGTTCCTGCCTAAAACACAAAAACAACTTCCAGTATGTATTTTTAATGGAACCCTATTTTATAATGTTACTTTGTCGATTGTCTATCATCCTTGTGGCCATTAATATATTAAGTGGGTCGAGGTTTCAACTCAAAACCACCAAACCCTGTATTTAACAATTTAACGCACATAATCAGACCAGCAGTGTTTTAGAGTTGAAATGTACCTTTTAATTTTTTTTTCCTGGTTATGGTTCTCAAGAGAGTGTCGCAGTTTTGACAGAAAGCAAAATTTCATGCAGCTTTTATGGAAGTTCAAAGCATGTTGGCAAATATTGCAACCTGTTGGGAGAATTTGCATGTACAGGAAAGTTGTCTGGTGGAGACTGTTTGTGGAATTTTAAGTGTTCATGGTAGTAAACCTTTGCTTTGTAGATTCAAAGATAACAGACTTATCCAAGCAATTTTCATGAAACCATTAGTTACAAACATTAAGTCAAAATGAAGTCAAAATAAATTATTATTTTCTATTTGACATGTTTGTATGTGATGCTTCATTTTTGTAGTTGTTCTTAAAAAATAAAAAGCCTTTTTTGCAGTGTTGATTTTCCCCCTTAGTTGTATTAACTAGTAGAAGGACTTGCATGTTACCAAAATCTAATAAGGAATTTTCCATGGCATCCTGCATTCTGACAGCCTATCTCAGGGAAAGGCTTAAACTTGTCCAAGAGCCCATCAATAAGAATGGTTGCAAACAACTTTATCAATCGAGGTCATTTTTACCATGAAATTTCTTTGCTTACTGCCATCATTAATGCTTTTCAGTAGTAACTAACTGATTAGCTGGGCTCTACTTCCCATTTGACATACAACGTGTACACAGACTAACAAGTCACCAAAATAGGTGGCTTCAAAACTTCTCTTTCAGACCGCAACAACTGCCAGAACCCTAAGAATGTTCTACAAATTATTCCCTAGTGATAATGTTTATACAAATTTCAGCTATAATACCTTCTGAAAAGTGACAATAAAGATGAGATTAGGAAAGGTACCATTTTCATTTGCCATGATGCCAGACATCTGGTTTACTCACTGATTTAATTGAAATTTTGATTGAAATGGCATGGTGTACCGTTCAGTGTGTTTTTTTTTCCTTTCAATATCTCAGACATCTAATTCCTCCCCTAGACCCCATTCAAATACAGATCCCTCCTTTGGGACCAGTATCTTAAGACTAATTACTAGTTACAATTGTCATAAAATAACTTAATGAAAATAAAACACTAAGATACTTATTCCATACTACTAGCATGTCTGTTCACTGCCTCTGCCAGAACCAGGCATTGCTAAGATAATTACATCTGCTCCATAATTCTAACCAGCTCTCCAAGGTGAAGCTTAGTATTCTCCAAGTTCAACTATTGCCACAATTGGATCCTCGGCTCCCAACTTTCTATCACCAGTTCTCTTACCTCCTAACCCTCTCTTCCTAGTCAATGTTACAAGATCTCTATCCATGGCCACCCCAGGCCAAAAAATAAAAACAAAAAATCCAGGAGGATATCACCACCCCCATCATCTCAACCAATAAAAACTGGTCATGGTAGTACTTTTCTGTCATCCCAGCTATGTGGGGAGGATCACAATTCAGGTTCACCTGGGGAAAAGTGTGGTGCTGTTGGAAAAGCAGAAATGGCAGGAGTGTGGCCCAGGTGGTAGAATGCCTTCCTAGCCTGAGTTCAAATCCCAGTACTGTCAAAGGAAAGTTGCAAGAGTCCTAAGAGTTGTCACTTAGTGAGCAGACTAGAGGAGGCAGGAAAATGCAATGCATTCATTACTAACCAAACTGAGACTTCAGACATAACACTTGGCTGCACATCTCTTAATCAGCCCATACAGGGGAGAAGTTGCATTCAGGAGCACAGTTAGCAAAACACACACACACACACACACACACACACACACACACACACCAACGGATTCCCCAGACTGACTGGCATAAGCCAGGAAACATGAATCTGCCATTTCTTCCATAAGCCCGTGTTCCCAAGCATCTCAGGGTGCAAGCCTTGTCAAGCAAGTGGGGCCCAGGTAGTTTTCTGGATAACAATGGGACACATCTTCCGCTGTCACTAACATTCCATGGCATCTACCGCACCAATAACTTTGTTCACAATCCCCGCTGCCAATACTTTATCGCTGAGCCTGGTGAGGAGTGTGCTGCGACTCATAGATTCTTGGCAGAAAATAATGTAATGTACCGATCACACACAAAGTACATACCATTTAGGAGGCTCCACAGAGCCTCCAAAGTCCACTCATAAGATTCCTACTCATGTGAGAACCCCAGGCTTAGACCTCCACAGGTTTTTCAGGTTGTTTCACACTGCATCGTACAGAGCCATTTACTCACTTTTCAATATCAAAGAATCCACACAATAACACTTTTTCCCATTGGAATTATATTGTTTGAGGCCATTAAAAGCCAATGGATCAAAGATAGGTGCCAGTGGCTCACACCTGTACTCGTCACTACTCAGGAAGTTGAGATGTGAGGCTTGTGGTTTGAAGCCAGCCCAGACAGAAATGTCTGTGAGACTCTTGTTTCCCATCAACCAACAAAAAGCCAGAAGTGGAGGTGCAGCTCAAGTGGTAGAGTTCTAGAGCAAAAACACTAAGGGAGAGTGTCCTAGCCCTGAGTTCAAGTCTTAATATTGACACACACTCGCACACATGTACACACACACTCACACACCATCTACTAATCATTACACCCTACACTCTTCCAAAACATTGTTAGTGGTTTTGCTCACAGCTAAATATGTTCACAAAATACAAGTTCAGGGGCTGGGAAGGTGGCTCAGTGGTAGAGCACTTGCCTTGCATGCATGAGGCCCTGGGTTCGATTCCTCAGCACCATGTAAGCAAAAAGAAAAAAGCCAGAAGTGGTACTATGGCTCAAGTGGTAGAGCGCTAGACTTGAGCTGAAGAGCTGAGGGACAGCGCCCAGGCCCAGAGTTCAGGCCCCACAACTGGTTCCCCTCCCCCCCAAAAAATACACAAATTCAATCATCTGAATCTCCATGGCAGCCACTCCACTGGCTGGCTGTCTCTAGTTTATGTCTAGAAGGAAAGAAATAAAATTTTACTAAAGCTACATTGACCAATAGAGTAGCAACTAGCCAATCTGGTTAAAAATGCTTAGTCCAGCTGGGCATTGGTGGCTCAGGCCTAGGATCCTAAAAGCTAAGATCTGAGGATCCCCGTGTGAAGCCAGCCCAAAGGTAGACAAGTCCAAGAGACTCTTCCCGCAAAAAGGTGGGACTGGAGGTATGGCTCAGGTAGAAGAACACCAACAGTAAGGGAAAAGCCAAGTAATAGCACAAAGCCCTGAGTTCAAGCCTCAGTACCAACATACCAACATATATTACATATGTGTGTAACACATATATACATATAAACACACCTGTATGTATCCATGTATATATAAATGTGTATACATGCCATGTGTTATATGCAAATAACGGATAGTCTATTTATGCATATGTATAGATATATATCCCAATATGTGAGGCCCATGGCAAGTTCCAAATACTACAAAGAAAATAAGTAAATGTAAAATAGAGTAGGTTTGACAAAAATGTTCTTAAAAACAGATTTCAAACATTTATTTTCTTCAATACAGACTTATGCACATTGAGATGTTTTGCACATGTTGGGTCACTTACACAGTTATGATCCATCTCTCTCTTGTGGTGTCACTTGGGTCGTGGGACCTTCCCATCTCCCATGCAGCTCACGTAAGACCACAACTGGGCCATGCTAGCCCCCAGTATGGAGCTCACATGTGCCAAACACTGGCCACAACTGGGCCATGCTAGCCCCCAGTATGGAGCTCACATGTGCCAAACACTGGCCACAACTGGGCCATGCTAGTCCCCAGTATGGAGCTCACATGTGCCAAACACTGGCCAGCCTTCCCTTCCTCAGTCTCAGAATCCTTCTTTGAGGCTAGAGGCTGTGTCAACAATGCAGACCCCAAGGAAAAACCCTACCCAGTGAGTGCAGAGATGTGATTTCAGTCTGGTGTTAAACCTTCACCTCTGACCACTGATCTTCTGTCAATTCCTTCCAGAAGCTCAGATGATAATATGTATAAGACATTCACAATTAGAATAAAAGAAATTGCTTAAGGTAATGAGCATTTCCCTTGGTTCCTCTGGAGTTCTAAACCACAGAATATTTTAACCCTCCTGACAAGAACACATGACAATGAATAAAAATAGGAATCTGGGCACAATTTAAGCTTTTCATCTTTACAGTGAAAACAAAGAGACCCCAAATAGCACAGATCACAAACAAACGAGTTAGGAGTGTGCAATGCCTACAGAATACTAGTTATAAACAAGGTTATAAACAAGTATGAAAACTAACCACATAATTATCAACTTACAGACTAAAGAAGTAGGTTATAAGTTCCTTGTTAGCAAAACTGCCCCCAAACCAAGGATGAAACCACAGTTTTGCTGTAAATAACTGCAACTCCCACTTTTATTTCTGTTTCCCAATTGTTTTACCATTTGAGGATTTCTGAGGAGCATCAACTAATTAAAAAGAAATTGCTAAAACGGGAGAAGATGCAAGAATTCTCATGGCAAATGCCGTTGTCTTCAGTTTTGATTAAATGTACATTCCCTTAAGCAGTTACAGAACGAAGTATGGTTCTTTGGATTTTGTTCAGATGGGTTTTTTCTGCTTAAATGATCCATTTTTCTTTAGCTTCCAGTTGTAACTAATGCTAAAAGGACATGGTCGACCGAGGGGTGGGGTATATTTTGCCTGAAACATGGCTTTCTTTCTCAATGGCAGAACACTCAGTATCACTTCAAAATGAAAGATGGAGAAGTAATGGCCCTTCCTTCAATGGGGATACTGCAAATTTAAATTTGCCCACCAATTTAGTGAGTCATACCCAAGTCCTGAAAAGCCAGATAAAACTTCCTAGACCCCATCAAGTTCTCTCAAAAACAATACACTAGATTTATATGGAATTGTGTGCTCAGTCTTCTGTTTAGTGTCCACCCCAGATAAGATGGGTTTGATTTAACTCCCAGGAGTCAGAGCCAGCCTTGTACTACCAGTAACCACGTAAGAAGCCCACACAGATTCCTCCAGCAAGAGTTCCTGTGTGCACACTTGGTCTTGAGCAATGGAGAATTCTCTCAGAGCTTAGAGTCTACTGGACAAGAGAACAGTAATGGAATCACTGTGGAATTGTGTGGAATCACCACACAAATGCCGACATGATTGAAGGGGGGTGGGGCAGTCAGACAATGTCACAGATTTCAGAGTGTCCTGAACTAATTGCAGCTGAGATGAATGAGAATTAATTAGGCAAAGACAATGGTTATATTCCAGGCAAAGAAACAGCATATACAAAGGCCCAGAGGTAAGAAAGGCCTGGAAACAAATAAGACAATGAACCAAAGTCAACCAACTAA